ACACACACACACACACACACACACACACACACACACACACACACACAAAGACTCTTATTTAGGCTTTCCCTTTGCTCCTTTCTGCTTTTGCCTCCTAAACAAAACCTGATGCTTTCGCTCTGTTATTGTATGGCATGACATGATGCCTTCTCTTGGAAACTGTAAGTAATAAAAATCTTCTTTTAATGATTTCATTCCTCTCCACATCAACATTCAGTCACCTCCTTAAGTTGAAATCCCAGAATTAAAATTGAGATAAATGACTCAAAACAAAAATATGTAGAACAAACAATAGTATTAAAATGATTCAGGAATAGTTGAGGCTTTATCACTTTATCCCATAGCTTAAATTACTTTGCAAAACAGTGATTCTTGGTGCTACTTTCCTAATTATCTTTTATTAGTTTTCCTACAAGAGAACAATTTAGAAAATTTTTCTATTTTTTTTTAATTATAAGAGTAATATATGAATTTTATCATATATGAATTATATCCCAATAAGAAAGTAATATAGGCTCATTATAGAAAATTAAAGGTGGAAAGTAAAAAGAAGAAAAAAAATTTAAATCCATGATTCTACTAATAGTCACTGTTAACACTGTGATATTTTTCTTTGGATAATAACAATGGTTCAGATTTTTTTAATCATGTTTTTTATGTGCCACACACTGTACTAAGGATATTACACATACTTTCTTAAGTAATTCTTACGAAAATTATTATCCTCATTTTGCAAATGTGGCAGGAAGATGGAACAATTTCCTCAAGTTCACATGTGATATAAGTGACTGAACTGACTCCAAATGACCCTTGTGCCACATAGTGTCTATTACATTTATAGTGAAACATATGAGATTTTAATTTTGTTTTTTCTAATAGAGTTTCAGTCATGCCTGATATACAATTCTGTGTTCTACTTTTTCACTTAACTTCATCTCTTGATCATTTATCTATGTTAATATTCTTTAAAGCATGATCTTGAACTTTTTTAGCAATAGCATGTTAAAATGTAACTTCTTCCACTCTTCTATGTGATTGGAGACTTCTAAAACCAAGTCCAGCCAGCTGCAGTGATGCTCACCTATAATTCCAGAGACTTGAGGCAGGAGGATCACAAGTTCCAGACCATCCTGGGCAACTTAGTAAGACCCTGACTCAAAAAATCAAAAGGGCTAGTAACAAAAAAAAAGAAAGAAAGAAAAAAAGAAAAGAAATCCAAGCTATAGTATTTCTCCAATTCTAAGATGAGTGTTTTCCTTCAGTATTTCTAAAATCAAGATGCATTTTATAGCTCAATGTGTGTGTTTGATGAAATAGTATTTTTTCCCCTCTTCTCCAACTCCCAAAATCTGACTTTAAATCAATGGTCCATCTGATGATTAGTGGTTTTTGA